CATTCATTTCATCACTTATTTGTTCTGTTGAGTACTTAAAATCTGTCACGCTCGGTTTTCATACAATTTGAAGTACATGCGGCGTGTACTTCGATCTGAGTCTGTGGGTAGAACCTACCAGACCACGCTGGGCCCGCGTGATAATTATTATTGTTCCAACAGGTAGGGGAGCGGAAAGAGAATGGGATTTAGATTGGAGGGCGCTGTAGTGCTTTTCTACCGGATTTTTTAAGGTTTTACCCCTTTTAGACATGATTAAATACAAAAAACCGCAAGAAAGCACAACAACAAACAAAACCGTATCAATACAAAACTTTGACGTTTTACAGATTGCTGGGTTTGATTGCCAAATAAAAATCTTAATGTTAGTTCCGTTTTTCGCCACGCCCATTCTCTTTCCGCACATACTCTATTAAGATTTTAAGATGATGAGCTACTCTTCGTAAAACACAAATTAATTATATTCCAAGTTTTTTTGAAGTTTAGAATTGTTTAAGTTTAGTATTCAGGTCGTGGCGCGATCTCCCTATTTTATCCAATTTTCTCCTGTGTCCCAGCAGTGGTGGGGATATAAATAGAATGATGGTGTGGAAAGGATAATCTTCGTGAACAGGTTTAAAGCAGAGGCGTATGAAATATAACTATAAATTATTCCTTAGCCAGTCAATGTCGTAAAATTAAGTGTGTCAATAGCGAAGGCACAAAAGTTTTACCGACTCTAGTAGATCGATACAACTAATTACTATTATTTTCTTCTGTCATCCACTAACACCCACATGTCAGTTCCCATTAATCATTGTGTCATATTCATATCTCTGTAAAGGTTAAATTTGAATTCATTTTTAGCCTTTCGTGGGCCACTCTGAATTCTTCTATATCTATAGATCATTATTAATATCAGAATATGTAATGAGTCTTTATGTAAATGTCAGGCTACTCTATTTTAATAGGTAACTTTTGAATTCCTAATCTTTATTTATACTAATATCATCAACCTGAATAGTTTATCTGTTTTTTTTTGGTTGAACGCGCAATTCTCAGGAACTACTGGTCCGATTTGAAAAGTTATTTTTGTGTTGTGATAGTAAATTTATCGTGAGGTTATGCTATAGGCGACGACCAATAGGAGAGCGGAGCACCAAAAAATTATTGCAAAAATGGGAAAAAATATTCCATTTGAGAACTTCCGTTGTGTGCGTAAACGGTAAAAGTTATGCAAAAATTATGTATGGCGGAGTTGTTCTCGTTTAAAAGTGCAAAAAAAATCATGACAGCATGTCTATATTACTACTATATTTTAAGGGTGACCCACTATAACTTTTTTCCTCAAATTAATGCGGGTGAAACCGCAGGGCATCTCTAGCACATGATAAACTGAACTAATGACGAAGATAACGAATTTTTAGTCGGTGCCTTAGTGCTGTGCTTTTTCAAAGGTAATAAGCAATGGTTACACAGCAGCGTCTTTTTTACATCGATGTAACAACATAATTGTCGAAAATTAAAGCCAAAAACCGCGTAAGCGGAACTGGTACAACTATAGTTAAAATTTTATTATTTGTACATTTAATAACAATTCTTTGTTCTAAGACTATAAATAATTAACAAAGATACATTATGGAAATTATTTAGTTTAAGAAATACTAATAATTCTAATACTAGGGAACTTTATTTTACTCATGGTACAATTTGGAATGAATACAACAAGTCTTAGATTAAAACAAAAAGGGATATTACGGCACTCGCGGCTCAAAAGTGATCCGCTTAAATTGTGGTGCATGACCATAATTCGCGCATTATTATACCGTATACCGTAGTATAAACTTTCAAGAATAATGCGCAAGAGAGACAGAATGTTTTTTGTCTCCATTTTCGATTTGCTTCTTCAATGGAGCGAGTTGGAATACTACAAAAAATTTACTTACATTATGGGAAAGGCACATTGCAAGGATGACTGACGGCCGTTTGGACGGGAAGTTCCTAGAGTGGCGAGATTATACAGCTATATTGTACCGTTATATTGTATATTGTACAGCTATAGTGTACTGCTATATTGTATAGCTATATTGTACCGCTTTCCGCTCGAATTGGAGCGCCCGTCTGGGGAAGTAACCTCCACCTTACAAATGTTTAAGTAAAATGGAACTACATTTTGGTGGTATTTCGTCCCTGTCAGTAATTAAGGCTGCAAAACTTCACGTGTGATCGCACGTGTGTATTGCAAGCTTATCAAATTTGTTTGCAAGCAAATAATAACGTTATGGAGGCCGCTTACCATCAGGCGAGTTATATGCTTGTTTGCCACCGTTTTAACAATTTAGGTTATTAAAAATGGCCAAGTGTTACTCGGATTCGCTCGAGAGTTCTGTAACATCCTACAAGCATAATATCATTTGATACATAGTTGCAATAACGTTTTTTGTTTGTATGGGACCCTGATTTTTATAACTTAATTATAAAAGCAAAAGTAATATGTTTTTTTTTTAAATATTCGTCTTAATTACTATTAAATACAACCCGTTGACAGATAAGGAACGCTTCGTTTCCATTCTTGCCCTTTAGTTCAAAACTCCAATTACTGTTACAATCGCTTCAGAATTTCCAAGTGTAATATTTCAAAAGATCCAGCAAAACCATACTTACTTACCGGAATTGAATTCGTTACTGACACGACATAAAAAGCGAGCAAATTAGGTGCCTTTCGTAGAACAATAATTACATTTCAAGTAGAACAGAGTGAATGAGAACGGGGAATACGGTGTTTTAATACTTAATGCTTTGTTGATTATTGCTACGCTAATGGGATTGCTTTAACATGCTGCAAATGAAAATTTAATAACATCGTTCCAGTATTTTTTTTCTGTACCACTATGATATTTGGACGGGTTAGAGACTTATCAAGTTATATATTTGAAAATTTAATATGAAACAAGCAAGAGACAACTATTCTAGATTTTCCCCTGTACTTCATCCACGTGGACTATAGAATACAAATATTTATAGGAAAGCTTTAATGAAGAAGAAAACTAGAAAATATTTTCGTGTCGTAATAAGTTTACTGGCTTGTTATATGAGCAACGCATAAGAACCCAACGTGTGATCATGTTTTCGGGTTAAAAAGTGTTTTCAATCACAATCCAGGTACTTAATTACTATTTGTAAAAGTCATTAAAGTCATTTTCTGCGAATAGGCTTATAAAAAGCTCTTTTACACGTCCCAGTTTTATTTTATCCCTACCACTGCTTCGGGACAACAATTGGGCCAGTGCTGAGATGAAGCAGCACAAGAAACTCAGTCACCATTGTCAGCCTCTTTTTCAGAGGTTTACAATACAGCATAATAATATAATGTAATTATAAATATTGGTCTGAGCTAGGCACGTATAACGTTTCCAACATTTTCATCTATATATTTTTCTTTAAGGTATTTTTTAATATCGACGGGTGCAAAGTAAAAACAGACATCTGCAAAATAGCAACTTTACAGGAGAGCGAAAAGATCGAAAAAGTGTGTTATTTTTCTAATGAGTGGACCAATTGTTTTGAAAATTTTATCATGATCTATTTATACTCTTATATATTTGTATATTAAGCTAGTTTAGCTAATTTGATGATAATTTACGAGATTTTGCAGATAACCGTTCTTACATCGTACTTTAAAAAATGATAACTGAGTCAACTACCAGTTGGTCGTGTATACTCCGTCTAGTTATACATAGCAGCCTCAGTATCACGGCTATTATATTTTGTTAGTTTTAAAAACCTATCCGTTTCCTTGATGTCCAGTTGTTTTCTTATTCATCCTAATTGCACCATCAGTTTACGTTCTTTATTCATTTCAAATTGTAAGGAGTAATGCAAATGGAGAATAGAATAACACCTCGAATTTGCTGCCGTTAAAGATAAAACTTTTACATTTTCATAACCTAAAAGGTACGCGCGCGCCGGTGACAAGTGAGCCAACTGCCCGATGTCATTTTGCGCGCGCTCGGTGCCCGCCTTGCGCCCCGCGTTGAAACGACCAACGTTACTTGGTAGCATTGACTTCGTACTATTTGCAAAAACATGCGTAGATAGCTTTTTATACGTTCGAAAATTGATTGAAATAAAGTGAAATCTGCTAAACAAATGTCAGGTTGTGGCGTCTTGTTTCATTAGTACGAAAAAGAAATAAAAAGAAAAACGTGAATTTGTAGTTGACTTTATTTACTTTGCACCCGTCGATATGAGCTTTTAATTTATGATTGGGGAGATCAACAACAGTTTATGGTAATTGATTGAAAATTTAAACTATTGAATGTCGAAGTTTTCAGCTCCCAATCAGTTCAGCTGTTTTAGGCGATTGACTTAACACACCGAAAATTACTTACTTACAAACTTTCGCAATAAAACTATCAGTAGAATATTGGGATGGTGTAACATTACGCTGAAATAAAATCATGTTGTGTTTCGTTTATCATGCCTCATTTGCCTAACATTTTAGACCTCGTTCGATGAAAGGACTTCAAAGCAATCTAGCTCGATCAATCGAAACCTTCACTTTGTCATTGAAATTCAGCAAATTGAGTGACGTCGGCGTTGTTGGGAGTGCTTAAACTCTTCAAATTTTGCTGGGAACGACGGTACTACAGATACAAGAGATTCGTTACAGTTATTATTATGTTCTGGAAAATAAACCAGTACCTAGATTTCTTATTTTTTAGACGCGATGGTCGTGTCGTCGTCGAATGGTTTTGTGTTTCTGTTTCAATTTTAAGAATCAGTGGAATAATAATACGACAGTTTTCAAGGTGGGGCACATGTTTGTGTGATGAATATGAGCATTTGTACCTAAGTCATGGATGTGTATAATGTTTTATAGATTAATGTGCATATATGACTGTCTATGTATTCTATCCGTTACTGTAGTATCCCATACCGCAAGCCTTACAGTGCTAACTTTGGGTCTAGTCTGATTGTATGTATAAAAAGCAAAATTGATAAATAAGCCTTTATTACAGGTTCAATGGGACCCGGTGTGCCGGAAAATATAACGGTGACCTTCCTCAATCCGACAACCGTGAAGGTATCTTGGTCCACAACGGCGGACCTCGTGGAAAAATATGATGTCACATACAAGCCTTCAGACGCCAGGTAAGCGTATTGCGGTTCTATAAGCAAAGATAGCACAATTGATAATATCCAAGTAAACCTCTTTATTGATAAGTCTAATAACGTGCTTGAGTGAATTGCATTTAGCTGGAATGAATAGGATGAAGTATCATATCAGGATATTATTGTTATTAGCTGCTTTGATAAACCGATTAATTGCAAGTAGCTATTCGTTGATTTGTTACAGACCGGTGCTGTTTCATTAAGATGTAAAAAGTGGACAATGACAAGATTCGTATGCAATACGAACTACGATTTGGATGCAATACGAAATACAAACATTGCCAAAATTACAGACACAACAAAAAACAATCGGCTAATGGCCAAATCAGTCAAGTCGTTCTTAAATAATGTATCGTCATTCACGAGACAAATTATTTGCATATATCTATGTTAATGCTCTAATACATTTTTGGTATATACAAATTTCATTTACTACTTCGATACAAAAATTGGTATTTTTGAATTAAGATTTAGCCAAATATTGAGTAAAAATAATTTTATTTATAAAATCAGTTTATGTCTGAGTGATTAAATGAATCGCATTCCTATTATATATATATTCACGAGATATATATATATATATATATATATATATATTAATAGATTATTCTCTCTACGAAACTGAATAACTTTTCAAAGTTCTCAAGTGAAGGTTCGTGTTAATTAGATTTGCCTCATTTTATTCATCATGCTCCCTAAATTATATTTAATTAACAGAATAAGTAATTCCAAATAATTTCATTTCGTTATACATTTAACTTTCCTTGGATTTTATCATCTGTACTATATTTACTGTGCTTTAGCTGTCTGCTTACTATGCTGCTATGTTTTTCTACGTTGTTGCTTCCTGGCAATATAAAGTCGTGGCACAATAAAAGTAAATATAATATTTTCTCCAACTGTTATCAATAAAGTACTGTCTGGTCAAAGCAATTCTATTATTTTTATTCGTAGTACTACTTTTAACACTATTGTAGATGAAAGTATGATGTGATAGAAATTAGGTGACTTCTTAATTCAATTCGTAAATTCAATAACGTATATTTGAAATATGTATGAAAAAAAAATGATTAGATTTCAATATCTTGTTATTTTAGCTGTTTTAAGTTTTATTTTATAGGTCATTTTATTATAAATTAAAATATTACTATTAAAATATAGTATAACCTTTTATTCTGATACCAAGATAAATTTTCAATATATTTTTTTAGAAGAAACAAATCTCTGATCAACCTGATTGATCTATAGAACTAGTAGGACTTAGAATAAATTTCGTCATAATTCGAGAAGATCCAGACCATAAAACCAATAGCAGCATCAACTTACTTCGCAACTGGACTCCCTACACATAAACTGCTATTTGTGTCATCAGATGTTCTTTGTATAAACTATCGAAGAATTGACGCATAGTGACTAGATTTTATACTGCCAAAAAATATACACATTAGTCCTTTATATGTTATTGCAACGAACGCATGCCGATGGTTACATAGTTAGTATGTAGTGAAAACCCCAGTTTACGCTTTACTAAGCATGTCATGCTGCAATACCGCCCACATATTTATCATACATGCTTTCAGATATTATATCCTATACATGCAAATGTGACATTTATGCTTCTACTATAATCATCATAGACGTAGTATCATTATAGATCTATGACAATGTAATAAATAACCATTCTGTATTTGACTATTGTGCGAGTATTGATAAATAGGAAAAGATGAATATCGACTCATTATTTTTTTTATAATTTAGAAAACTGGCAATATCATTTCCAGCGAGGACGGTCTGTCAAATTGTTTTATTTTCACTGTCGGATATTTCTTCTTTCTTACAGATTGCATGTTAAATATTTCAGTGTTTTTCATTATTTTCTTTCTAGTTCCTTAATGCCGAGTTTATTTTTCATTTGAACCAACCAATTTAAAGATAGATAAACTTAAAAAAGAAAAGGGAACAAATATCAATATAATGACCTTCGATATTTCGTTTTTCATATTACCCGCCGAGCTAGAGAAAAAATGTTTTTCATTATTGTGTCTACACATAGGAAACTACAATATAAGGTAAAAAATATCATTGTATAACATTTTCGTGGCGATACTACAGTCCATACTACGATGGGCTTTCTCCTACAAACATAAAATTTCCAATGTAAGTTCGGCATAGTTTGAAATCACATAACTTTGGGTAAATATCACTGACACTCCCAGAGTAACAATTCTGGAACTTTCTTAGAATTTTGCTCAATTCCATACTTTTGATGTTCAATTACAAATCAGATTATGGTGTCATCCAGTAGGTAGATAGATGGTTACTGTATATAAGACACATGCGTTGTTTTAACCACATATGTACATAAGTAATATCACTTAAATGCGCATATTTCAAGAGCGAGTGTTTACTTAGGTACTTATTACTTATAAATTTATTATTTTTACCACATCCATATTTCAAAGAAACCTAAAAAATACATTTCGATAATAAAACCATAAATTCACTACTGTGCGTGTTGTACTACCTCCAATATGGAAACTCACAGTCAGACTATTTAATTGAAAGATACGGTAAACAATAAAGAAAGGTACACAATAGCAAACCCTGCTCCCGGATATTCGTGTACACAGACTAAAACGGGGCACAAAGGCAACCTCGAGTTCCATGCCGTTTCAGGGTTTCGCTGAATGAGGCAGAATGACGTGAATACTAAACGAGAATTGACATTGTAAACAGTGGAAACAAAAAAAGAAATGAATTTAAAATCCATAAAGGCATAACCTTTAAACGAAATGTAGAAAGTTGATTTTACTGATAGAAAATGGAAAACTGACAACAATAATTAATTAACTCTGGCATCGCCGAGAACAAACTTTGGTTTCGAATTTTCGATGTCTGTGAATCTTGACTCGCCTTGAATTTCTGATTCCAGTTTAGGAATTTTTGGATCAATAGAATGATTAAAATTTCATTGTCTGATTTATTTAAATTGTTTTCAGTTATTTTCAATATGAAAAGATAAGTATAATTAATTTCATAGCAAACTTTGACAATACCCTGGCAAAAGTTTGTGAAACCAATAAGACACCACTCATCCGTGAACTATCCTGATTAGTGGTTAAGTCATTCGAAGCATAAGAATCCTCCGTATTAGCTTTGCGAGTATGACTAAGACTCAACTCGCTTTACAGAACTCTGAAAACTCCAAGTCTCAGTAACTCTTTAGGTTTCCGAGTTTTGAGTTTCTATACTCATAGTCTTTCAACGTGAAAATATTTGCAGTGAAGTCGTTTTCTCTGTCTCATTAAAAACACGAAGTACGTAACGGGAGCCGTCCTTCTAGCTTCTTCAAATAAATGAAAAAATGCACCAATTGCCTACTTTTCAATGTAGATAGTAAATCTACCAACAATTAATCAAATATTTGGATGCTGGAAAACTTATTGCCATTGTTTCAGGAGAACATCGTTGAAATTCAATCAATGTTAAATGTAGCGAATTTTAGGAATGATAGACATACAATTTTTACTCTGAAATTGCACTAAAGCCATAGGATATGTGCTATGATACATTATTATGTATACATAGAACCAGTAATAAGTTTAACCATTCTCTGGGTTTAAGAAACTTTATGAGATAACATAACTTTGAATAATGTGAAATTATTCAACTAATAAGCAAGAAACTTAGAGCATGGATCAACTTGCTAAGTCAACAGTGCAAAATTAATTCCTGATCTTAGAAATTTATCGCACATACCCACATAAGTTCGTATTGACTGTATCGGTACAGTACTTTCGCTACGCTACATATAATTTAATGAAATTAATGTTGTGCCTCCATTTACACAATAGTAAGAATACATGTTATAACCATAGCATGAAAGAGGTATGTAGGTTCGATATATTCTTAAATTTTATATTATTAATATATTTATTTATACTATATTGCAAATGACAGCAAATGGCGGACTTAATGTCATAAAGCAGTTTGTACTAGTTTCCATACAATACAAAAAACTTTTTGACATTTGACACATATCGGGTTCGAATTCTGCTTTACATGAAAATTTTAACAGTGCCACAACGGACAAAGTGAGACTTAAAAATCTTAAATGCAAAACTTCTTGACACTTAACGCGAATCGAGATCAAGTTCAACTAATGGAAGTCGATATTGGTTCGTGATTAGTGCGTTCGTTGTACCTACAGTGAAATAAGCATATGAAATTCATATTTGCATTGAGATTTTCCATATGTGCAATCGTTTGAAATAAGCACATTATACATAGACATGAACTTGCTCATACGTACACATTTCTATTTCAAGCGTTTCTGATATTAAAATATTTAAATCTAAACTCCGCAAACTGTTAAATATTCATAAGGGGTAGTAGATAGTGTGAGACGAGCAAACCCCTAACTATAACGTTTTATATGATAATTGATGGAAATTATGGATGGTGATTTCGATGACTCCAACTAACAAAACCATAACAAAATCAATTACTCTCTCGACTATAGATAGAAAAACACTCGTATGATAGATCCTATTATTTCAGAAAGCTGTATAAACGCATTTTTTTGGATTATGTTGCATTGAATGCTTTTAGGATGTAAAAATATGTCTAGTAAACGTTTACTCAACGGATTTATGTTACATTCACTCCATAATTGTATAAAGACATCTTCCGATCATCTTTATACTACTATGAGTCTTATGACAGCTCTTTGAAAGCAATTGAATTGCCAAATTGATGTCAAACCTGCTTTTACAGCACTATCTTTCGACGACTAATTCTTAGCACAATATTGTACAGAAAAGGCAATGGGGAAGATGCAATATTTTTATTTTTATTTTCATTTTAAAGAATTCCACGTGGAATAAACCACAGATATATTAAAAAATTAAAACATTTTTATAATTAAACATTGAAAAAATGCGGTTTTAAATTGACAGTTTAAATTTTCGCGCGAAAAC